CGAAATGCGTGTCGTTTGCCCCACCCCCGCACCAACGCCGCCACGCAACACAGCCACGAGGAGGGGCAGGAAGAGGGCGGGGGGGGGGGGGGTCGTGTGCTAAAGTGGGTCAGGTTTGGGTTTGCAGCAAGGAAACAAGCACGGTAGTTTTAGAAGGCAAACGAATGTCCTTTTATGCATTTTCTGTCGTGCATTTTTATTATGGAAGGAGTACAGGCTACAGAAGAAAAGTGACAGATGTTTGTTGAACACCAAGCTCTCGAGCAACTGCAAAGTTTACAGAACATTAAAATTTGAAAGCATTAAACCATCAAAAGCATTATACAATAGAGCACCGTTTCCTAATTCCCCTCATCCACGCTAGCATAAAGCCCTCTGGAAACCCTGCGACGCACATTTACAGAGAAGAGTCACCCGAGTTCAAAAGTTTCCAACCTTCCGGAGAGCGGGAGAGCAAGACCCCCGTCTGCTTGGTCAAACCCTCATCCTCTCCCCCTTGCACAGTTCTCCCACGTGGATTGAGCTCCGCCACAGGCACGCCCTGGCTCTTTCGTGGCCAAACCTCCTCCGTATTTCATGCCCGTCTTCTCACTCTCACGCTTCAGCTGCTGAATACGAAACAAGCAAACAAACAAACATGGGTTTCTCTGGGGGCCAGGCAAGGCAGGGCGAAAGCAGCTTGCTGGGCAGTTGGGATGTGGGGGGCCAGGCAGGGCCCGGCCGCAGAGAAGCCCCGTGCGACAGCCCCACGGCCACCCTTCAAGCCCCTTGCACTGGCAGAACTGGCCACCGCCTTCCCTTGGTTGCGCACGGAAGTCCCTCGTCCCAAAGGAGCACCTTAAAGGCCGCGCGGAAGAACATGGGCGCCCGGCAGAGAAGAGGCAGGAGGGAGAATCTTTGGAGAGGTCCGCCGGTCAGGCTGGGACTGGGCCCAGGAGATGGCTGGAGCCTCCTCTGGGAGGCCGGCAGCCATCGGGCCAGCGGCCTTCCTCCTCCTCCTCCTCCTCCTCCTCCTCCTCAAGGAGTGGGAAGGGCCATGGTTGAGCTTTGGGAGACGGCGCCAGAAAGCCGAGATCCAAAGTGCTGCCAACCGGAGCGGGCCAGAGGGTGCAAAAGGGGAAGGCGGAGCTTGGCTGCAGCATTGATGGATGGATGGATGGATGGATGGATGGATTGATTTATTGATTGATTCATCGTCTACCTGCTACCATGGAGGAGGAAGGCTCAAAGCGGAAATCTACGTGGACTCTCCGGAGTGACTTTGCGCCCAGCGCTCTTCGGCAAATCTGGCTGAGATGACGGAGGCTTTGTGCTGTGGAGTTCCTTGGGATCCCTCTGGATCTGTGGATCCTGAGAAACAGAGAGGGTCCTCTGTGCTCTTAGCTGTGCCAGCTGCGGATTGGATCCCTGCCCCACCTGCTTGGCCAGGGGGACCAGGCAGGTGCCAGGAGGCTGGATGTAGGCAGTGGTAAGTGCATCCTGGGTTGAAGAGATGCCCTCCAACCTTCCCTTGTGGGGATGCTGTATGGGGGGGGGATTTCTCCAAGGGGGGTGGAAGTCATGTGAAACCTGGTATGACGTAAGGTAAGATTCTACCTCACTGCAGACCAGCCTGGCATTTAGCAGCAGCACGGGGACCAGGGACACTGGAGCTCTGGTGACCAGGCCCTGGGGCTGAGCACAAGGGGCTGGAACATGGCACGGGCACTAAGCCCTGAGGCCCTCTTCCCTGGGTTCTAGGCTGCAGCAATCCAGATGACACTAGATGGGAGCAAAGGGGACTGGCAGGTCCAGATATTCCACCTTGTTACTCTGGATCACCCGTTATCTCCTTTGGGGCAGAAGGAGCAGGAAAAGAGAAGTGGAAGGGCTGGTTTTCTCAGAGGACTCCTTAAGATGGTACCTTTTCTGAACTTCATCATCAGAATCAGCCCCACACAGCCAAGAAGGAGGAGATTTCCCACTTTGATGAGGCACAGCAGGACCCCAAGAGGCAGCCTATAGGGGCTATTTTCTGGAAAAGAGCAACAGCCCCTGTTAATCCTTTCAGCAGGCACGTGGGAATGGATAGTACCTGACCCCATGCCACAGAAGAACCCGCCAGCCCCACGCAGACGACCAGCACCTTGACTTCACCCAGCATCCGTCCAGCAACCAGGGCAGTGAACCAGGCTGTGCCCATAATTGCTTCTCCTGACGCCCAATGGACCCTCTGTAGCTCCTGAGTGGTCTTCAAAGGGGGTTCACCAAGAGTGACCGTGGGTGGAAATGAGGGTGATTGTCACACCAGATGGATCTGTGCTACGGCCCTCCTGGCCACAGTTGCCACCTGCTCTTTGAGCACGAGCCAAGAGTCCAGGAGCTGCCCCAAATTATGCAGCGGTTCCATCGAGGGATGTGGGACCCCCTCAAGAACCCCAGTTGGAAGGTCCCTGGAGCCAGAGGATCCCTGAATCCACAGTCACCCAGCCTTGCTAGGGCTGACCCCGACCCCGCTCCTTCCCAATGGGACCCTAATAGTCTCCCGGTGAACAATTACCAGACCCACTCAGAGACTGTGGAGCACATTGTCAAACTTTCCAAGACTCACATGTTTGCGTCCGCCCATCCCACCAGATCCGACACAATCGGCCTGCTTTGAGTCCCCTCAATTAGGGAGCATTGTCTTGGGGACCCTCTTCTGTTGTGCCCTTTGGAAGATCACCGCCATGGGGAATAGCTTGGCCCCATCCCTGCCGGCCTTTTGCAAGGCCCTGCAGACGTGGTTGCATCCCGGGCATGTGAAATGGTTGTTTTAATTGCTCTTCCTGTTGTTGTTGTTGTTTCACCTTGGTTGCTGGTTGTGTATTATATTGTGTTGGTTCTTTTGTTTTTAATTGCCACTCAGAGCCATAAAAGTAGGATGGGCAGCTGTATTACTGGAATTAAATAAATCAGTGCATACATTTTATTCTTGTGGAACGTTGTTTGCAGCCCAACGCCCTCCCGACTCCAACGGTGCTACTGCACGAATAACCCTGGAAAGCTCCACCTTCTGCAGGACCTTTTCTCTCCTGACTGCCCTCCTGCTCAGCCTCACCCACCACAGCCCCTCTGCCCCAAGGCCCCTCTCAAGGAGGGAAAAACTTACCAGCACAAACTTCCTCTAAGGAGACCGTCGTGGATGCGTTGCTGACCGGGTTTTCTGCTCTGCAGGTGACACTGAGATCAAGGTCTTCGTACGTGATCTTGATCGCAGAATTCCCACGGGTGGGACCCTCGCCCTGGACAGCTGGGATCCAGCTGAACTCCACCCCGTCTTCCCAGGCCTCTGTGGAGCAGTTCAGCTGCCAAGTCCCGTTTCCACCACCATCAGGAATGCACATCACTCTCAGCTGAGAGTCCAGCAACCGTCCTGGGCAGGAAATGGAGAGACACCATTTGTGGAAGACCACGAAGTCACAGGAAGGCCAAGGAGGAAGGAAAACCAGCAACAGCTGGGCCTCCGTGAAAGGCTTTGCTTAGATTAGGGCAGGGAAAATACGCGTCCCCCCTTTC